TCATGAAAAGCAAGGACCTACATATAAGATGACTCTATCCAGCAAAGCTATCATTTAGAATGGAAGGGCAGATAAAGTGTTTCCCAGATAGGGTCAAGTTAAAGGAGTTCATCATAACCAACACCTTATAATATGAAATATTAAAGGGACTCATCTAAGAAAAAGTGTATATCAAAAATACAAACAGTAAAATGACAAGAAACTCACAACTATCAACAACCAAACCTAAAAAAGCAAAAAACAAAAGGTAAGCAAACAACTAGAACAGGAATGGAATCACAGAACTAGCGATCACGTGGAGGGTTATCAGCCGGGATGGGAGTTGTGAGAATGGGGGAAAAGGTACAGGGAATAATAGGCATAAATGGTAGGTACAAAATAGACAAAGGGAGGTTAAGAATAGCATGGTAAGTGGAGAAGCCGAAGAACTTGTATGTATGACTCATGGGCATGAATTAAGGTGTAGGATTGATGGTGGGAGGTAGGGTACAAGGTGGAGGGGAATAAAGAGGAGAAAAACATGGGACAACTGTAACAGCATAATGAATTATATATTTAAAAAATAGGTGTTTTTAAGAGTTTTAATTTTTATTTCTAATGTCATAAATATTGATAACTATGTCCCGTATAAAGAAAGCTTTTTGGGGCACCCAGTAACATTCAACAATGTAAAAGAATCCTGAGACTGAGGCAGGATAGTAAGAAATTAGGAATTCCTTGCCATGTGGAATGGAGAAACTGAGACAGCTGATTCAAACTGGCCTGATCCAGCACCCTGATTCACCTGCCTCTTTCTCCCTTGCATAACGCTCTCACTCCCTTAAGAATCAGGCTCTCATAAGGTCTGATCAGCATCAAGTCATCTTAGGAACAAAGCGTTGGGTCTATTGACCACAGAGACAAAGAGTTTTTGTTAAACTAGGGATGACATCTAGCCTCAGTTGTGTTTTAGCTCCAGGCCCAGAAAAGCAGCAGACCCAGATTAAGCTAAGTCACGGCTGACATCAGGACCAGAAGCAATCACCCATGACCCCTTACCCTAGCACTGACGAATCAGTACAGACCCTGACCCTATATGGTCATTTTGATGAATCAGCATATTAAAGAATACACATAGAAAGTTGATCAGTATTCTCCCATAAAATTACTGCCTTTAGAACAGATAAAAACCCTCAAGACAAAGGGCCCAGTGCTCACACTGTCTCTCTAGAACACACACCTGCCTTCTTTCTTCAGGTGTATATCTATGCTTTCTCTTTCATAAGCTCTAAGGGTCCACACAAGACTTGCAACCAGGGGAGCAGCAAGCAGTGGCAGCTTGCCCCCAGTTAACCCCCTGAACCTGTCCCCAAGGGCCCTTCTTTTGCCTCTGTAACTTGTTTCCTGAGTCCACACAGCCCAGCTGGCTCACTCCTTCTGTATCTGTGATTTTCTAAAAGGCCAAGGCAACTCTCTGAGCAGCCCACTAGAATCTTCTCTTCAAGTGTACTTTCACTTTCATGCTAAATAAACTGCCTCTTGTGCTAGAGTTCTTGGTTCTGAATTCCTTCTTTGCTAAACTCAAGAATCAAGGGCCAACATTGCTGGTAACAAGACCAGGAAGTCTGAGGACCACATTCTTAGATTGTCTGTTCTTGGACTCCATCAGGGGTTCTTCTTTGACTAACACCTTAAAATTTGATGTTTTTGAAAACAGCATACTAAGTCAACCAATCTTCTCATCTTAATCTGGGATTTCTTAATCTTGGCATGATTGACATTTTGGGCCAGATTATTCTTTGTTGTGAGGACTGTCCTGTGCTTAGGAGTATCCTTGGCCACTACTATTAGATGACAGAAGTATCCTCTTACCCCAGTTGTGACAATCAAAAATGTCTCCAGACATTGTCAAATAAAACTTTCCTGGTTGAGAACTACTGCTCTAAATACTCTTCCTGGAAATTTCACCTAATAAGATTTTAATTCTATTTATAACATTCCAAACTGCATACTTTGTGTCAGGCACAATTCTAAGTGTCTGACAAGAATTAACTCATTTAAGGCTCACCACTCTATGACATCCTTCTGTACTCACATCAGTTCATGGTATTTCACCATGAACCTCTCTGTGCCTCAGCTTAACTGGTAACCTGGATGTCATCCTACACTCTCCTTGGATTCTCTTTATTCCTGGATCCAATCATTCAAGTCCTAACAATTTCACTTTCTAATTAATCAAATATTTCTTTTTTCTCCATCTTCCACTATTCCTGCCCTCATCAGGGCCCTAATCTTTCCTTAGCACTATTGCAATCATAACCAATTCCCATTTGGTATCCTTGTATTTAGTCCTCAAAATACCTTCCATATTGCTGCTGGAGTGATCTACCAAATGTTCAAATGTGGCCATGTCACTTTACAACTTAAAGCTCTCTATTGACTGTTACTGAAGAACAGATTCCAGGTTCCTTAGCATGGCCTCTTGGCCCTTGAAAATGTGACCCTTTCCAATCTCAGTCTTGTTTTTTGTTACCCCTTGAGTCATACTTTACTCTCTAGCATTAGTCTATTGTTTGTCATTATCTGAGCATACTGTGCCACTTCATGCCTTTGATCCAGTGTCATGTTCTGGGAAGCATTCTTGATACTATAATCTGTGCATGCCTGTCATAGCACTTAACACAGTTTGTGAAAATGATTTCTATAAGTGTGTTCCACAGAGGTTTGTTAAAAAAAAAAAAAGCCATGGATGGTAGGTGCCTTGCTGAGTCCAAGCTCTCATCTTTCTATCTTCAGGGTCTGCTATGGCACTGCACAAAGAATTCTTCAGATTGTTTTGAAAGCACTGAAGTAAAAGAATACATAGAAACAAAACCCATTTAGATGGTGTTGGGAGATGTGGAATGAGAAGAATCAGGGAAACCTGTGTTCCAAGGTCATGAATGAACTGAATCTCAAAGGAAGGGGATAAACTCAAGACAAGGATGATTAAAAGCCATTCCAGGTAGAAGAGTACAGGTGTGAAGGGCTGTCTTTGAAAGTCATGAGACATAGCCTTAATACAAAAGAAGGGTATATTTTATAACAAGGTTTTTAAAAAATTTATCTTAGGAGATAATATTAGTGGGAATCTCAGGGTTTAGGTCCATGAGTTCAGGAAACAGTATAAAATGATTACCAGATTCCTCTGGATAATTTATTTATATGAGGATAATAAACTTAGCTCAAAAGCATTACTGAAAGTATAATTTGAACAATTATTCTCTAAATGTATATTGACTTATATAGTAGTTCACACTGAAACTCATTTTCAATTTTCTGCCTACCAGGTACAGCCTTGAATGACTTTCTCTAGTTTACTGCTGTTGACTTGGCATTTATTCACTTTAGAAATACTTAGTCTTGTATGTCTACTTCACTACCTGGCTCATAAGTAATTTCCAAATGAAATTTTAGAAATGGAAGGGTCCTTAGAGACTATCTACTACATCAGGCTAATTTTAGAAGCAAGAAAATGACAACATTGAGGTTGAAGGACTTGTCTAAGGTTCTATATTCTGAGGGCTTCTACTTGACTTTTCTACCATGTGCTCCCAGATCTTCCCTCTGCTGTCTTTCCAGTGTGTGACCTGTGTGCTGATCCCCAGTTCTTGTTTATTCTCAGCAAATTTAAATGACACAATATCTTCTTTCAAACTGGTGAAAATTATTGATTTCCAAATGTTAATGTGCATATTTTGTGGGTTCCTTCAACAAACTTGGTTAACTTCTTGGTGCTACTTGGTTAATTTTACTACTATTTACAAACATTACCTTCCAAAGCCAAAGTCATTAAATAAAACCATGCACTCCCATGAAATGCTTAACTAACTGACCAGGTGGATATAATCTCATCAGTATGATTTAGATGTTAACATATGTTCCTTTTCCTTGCAGGTATCTAAAAATTAGACAGTCACTGCTTGAGAGGTTTAGTGTTCTGTTGGCCAGCTGAGGTTGTAGTAGTCTACCCATCAAAGGGGCTGCCGGCTCATACGGAAGGGAGCGGGGCACTACTTAACCAGGTCTGTTCTAAGGGTAGGCCTTGTTCATTGGAAACCCAATCCACAGGCTGGCTAATCACCAAAAGTGAGACCTGGTATAATGAAATGAGCTGGTCTCATCAGACTCTAGCTTTGGGAATATGTTTTAAATGCAGAGAGAATCAGGTCGTTAATAGAAGACACCAAATCTGAAAGAATGCAGAGAAAAAAGTCCACAAGCTGAGGCTCCAAAGTGCACAAACGATACAGAGAGTAAAGAATTAGAATAAGGGACTCAGCAAATAGGAGAATGGGGCAGGAAGAGAAGTTGTGCGCTATATTAAGGATGCTAAGAGTTTAGACTGTCATTCTCCTGCTGCTAAGATCCTAGTAGCTGGCTCCCCACCTGGTGAGGCCACGATAAACGTTTCAGAGCCTGAGGTTTTCGTGAGACCTTTATAACTTTATTGCTACTTGTGCCTCCTCCTTCCAATTCTCCCACTCCTGCTTCAACCAATTATCCCAAGTACACGGATTTGATTCTTGCAACACATGTGATGAATGGCTAACACATGTAAGGAATTAAAGGAGTGGGCAGAGTAACCGAGCCTTTAGCTTGTGGACCTGTGCTACTGACTGGACACTTCTGTCAACTCTACCAATTCTGTAGGAAGTTCTACGTATACAACGAACTGGTGCTAACTTAAATGCTTGCAGCTTCCACGTCCATCCTTCCTATGGCAGAAACACACCAATAACCACACTACCAGAGCTCAAGCCGCGGTATCCAACTTGGGGAGGGGGCGCACAACATTCATCTTTGCCACAATGAAGGGCAAGTCCCCGGTCCTTCCCCGAGAAGTTCCAGAGGACCACGCTCGCCGGCTGGAGTCCGCTTATCCAAGATCGCAGGCGTAAGACACGGACTCGCCGCACTCGGAAACATTCCCAGGCAGCCAGCACCCCGGACCTCCCGGCTCCCGCCGCCCGACGGGTCACCTGTAATTGTAGGCGCTGAAATGCTTGCTCTCTCTCAGCATCGCCCGGTACAGATCTAACACCTGCGCGCGGCTGGAGGCTGCCATTTTGGAAAAAAAAAAAATAAATAAATGGGTCCTTTTCGCGGAGGTCCCGCGATTAACCCAATCACAAAGTTTCAGCCTATGCAAAACCACGAACGAAACAAAATGTAGCAGAGTTTCCTCTCGCTAGCAGGTCAGGCCTTAGCCTGGGTCAGCAGCCGCCGCGCCTCGGGCCGCTGCAGACGACGACCCGCCTTGCTCGCGGCTTGGGGAGGCGGGCGCAGGCGGGCTTCGGGCAGCTAAGGGGGAGGCGCCCACGAGGAAGGCGGTCGCGCTCGCGTATTCCCAAGGAGTCTCTGGATTGTAGCAGGCCTGGGGACGGGCTGAGGGTGGGAAACAGTAGGGGTCCAGAGGGGACAGAGCTAGGCAATGGGCGTGGGACCTAGGGGCTGCTTGTGCACCGCGCAACGCTCCTTCGGAACGGAGGAGGTTAGAGAGTTGAGCACTGAGGAGTACTGAGGACGTGCAGCGGGTCAAAGGATTCCTTCGTCGGAACCGTACCGCGTCACGGCGAAGACCTTTGAGTTTCTAAGCACAGCACCCCGTTGCTTCCCCGCTGGGCGTGAGGCCTCGTTGTCCGGGTAACTGAACGCTTGCCTTCGGACACCCACTGGCTGCAGTTGCCCCACCCGCTGAGGTCCCCTCGGCGCTGCCTGAGAGGCGGTTTAGGGTTTCCGGGGTCCTTTTCCTAAGGTCGCTCTGTCGGTGTACCCTGAGTGGGGGCAACTCTCTGCACACGGGCACCACGGCGTCGGGGCGCCGAGTCTACGGGTCAGTGGTTCCTTGGCGCTCCGGCTCCGCTCAGGGCTACTGGGTAAGGGGCCTCGGGGCAAGGGCCGCTTTATTGTCAAAATGGCAGCGCCCAGTACGCTCTGAACGGAGCTCTGAGGTGGGGATAAGGATCTTTCTCAGGAGAGTAAGGGAGCCTACGGCGTTCCAGATTTTAAAAGCCCCAGGTCTGGGCCTCCCGTGCGAACGGTGGGTGAGTGCCGGTCTGGCTGTCGCTTGGGGTGCGACGTGGGCGGCTGGTGTGATATGGAGTTACTTTGCCATGGATTTTTTCTCTTTATGGGGTATTTGTTGAGTTTTTGGGATTTTGCATTTCAGTCATGAGCCGTTTAGAGTTTTGTTATCTAATACATGTGTACAAAAGATGGGGTGGTCTGGGCTTTAGGCGTGGGTGAATAATTGGGCAAACTTCAGGGATTCAAGCCCTCTGTCGTTGAGCAAGTTTTCTCTTGAAGCTTTTCATGACTGATTTTTCTCCCGTGCCTGTTTTCTGAAGACGTAAAAGTTTTCTGAACTATCATGTTACAGTGGTGGATAAAATTGGTCGTTTTGGTCCTTGAACGTAGGACTGGGCGCAGGGAAGCCTGATTTAGTTTTTGTTAACTGTATTTGCAAAGCACTTGTATCTGGAATCTTCCTGTATGTAATCCATGTTAGGAAGAGCCACAGTTTTCTGCCCCCAAATACAGAAAGGGATAAGTTTGTAGGTAAGAAACAAATTTGCACTTATGTCTCTTTTAATCCAACCACTGAATTATGGTTTTGTTCCTCTGTTTAAGGTCATGTGGTTTTGAAATGACACTTGCAAAATCAAAGCAACTTCGTAATTTTCAGGAATTTAAGGGGACGAAATACTTCTTTGACCTTACCACACTTTCTTTGTATACTTGTTATGTTACTCGTTAGAATGCAGTGGCATTTTAAAAAAGGCATGGAAGGGAAAATACTTTTACTGAAATCCTTTTAAGCTTCCCATCTGATTTTTGAAAGGTCTCATACATTAGTGAGTTTTTTCTCTTTTATTTTTTGTTTGTGTGTTTTTTTCTAATTTTAATCATTGTTCAAGTACAGTTTTCTGTCCTTTACCATTAGTGAGTTTTAAAGTTTTTTTACAGGGTAGCCGAGCTTCTGTCACTCTTGCAGGTTGATCAGGTCATGGGGCAAGTATTTCCTTATGGTTTATTGAAAAGGCTTTTAATATTTTGAGTTTATCCTTTGGCATTACTTAAAGGCTTTAAGACCAAGGGAATCACATGTTATTACAGACGTAACATCTGGGAAAACTTGAACGTTGATGCAAGTTAAAAATAGAAAAAATTATCAAAGAAAAAAACATGAAAATTATTCTGCCTTGTTTAAAAATAGTGGGGATTGTATTCTATTTTGCTTTCATCTAGGAAATGAAGTTGGGATAATTATACAATAATTATTTATGTGTAACTCTCAAGCAATTTAATCATTACTGTGTATGATTAGTGCATCTAAGTGACTTTAACTTTGTTGTAGTCATATAAGACTTTCCAAACAAATATGTAAAGTTTAGTTTGTTGGGATAGCTTAATCACCTGTTTGCACAAGGTTAGGAATGTGATAGCTTCCCAGCTGACTGTAAGCTAAGTCCTCACAGAAAATAACGTTCATTTTATTGTAAATAATTTACCATATGTTATATATCATTGTCTTGAAAGATTAATAAGAATGATTAAATTCCAAAGCCAGGCTCTTCTTTTATACATCTTCATTGTAGAGATGACTATTTTCAGTAATAATTGCTCTATCCAAGGTTGAAAGTGGAATTGGGCCAGAAGCTGGATGGATCTTACTCATATATCTTTTAATAGTCATTTATTCTGGGCTGACTATTCTCTTGGATAATAACCCATTTATTATTGTTTAGGCCTCAAATGTAAGTATTTTCTTAATATTCACCTATCCATAGTTATGAAATATCTATAGTTTTTTCCCCTACCTATGTAAAATGTATTACCCTGTGTTAAAATTAAGATTGCTAATGAACATTTAATGTTTTTTGAAGAGAAATTTCTCTCACCATAATAAGCAAAATAAATGTAACAACAATTTGCTGTCTTTAGTCTTAAATATTAAAATGATATATAAAGAAAATCTTGTATAAACCAGCAACTTGTTATACTATGACTTAGATATTATTCAACTCCAAAGATGGATCCAAGTTTTTGTTATACATAATTGTTATTTGATTTTATTGATTCTTTATTCTAGTAGAATATGAAGCTGGAAGAGACCTTGGACATTAACTCATTTATTTTTACAGATGAACAAACTAAAGTTCTTTCCTTATTCATTCATTCATTCATTTATTCATTTACCATTTATTGAAACCTTCCTAAGTGCCATTCTTTATACAAGATGATTGAGTCAAGTGATGGGAGTCTCCCTCTCCTTGTAGAAACCAATAGGGACCTAGATAAGCAGAGTAATAATTAATTTTTGATAGGTGCTATAATAGGGATAACACAGGGTCCATAAAATAACGCCCCTTTTTTAATACAAAATCATAAGCATATAATTCTGTAACATAACAATATGACACTCAAGCACACCATATAACATTTTAGGTGAAATGTTCAAATTGCTGTTTATCTTGTGTAAGATTCATATACCTTCCCAACCACACTCAAGCTTCACTTCTGCTGGACCCTGTATTATCAAGTGTTAGGGGAGTACAGAGCAAGGACTTAAACTAGGATTTTGACCTACGGGAAAGCTTTCCATCATAGAAGGTATTTTCACAATGAGTAGTAAGACCTAGGTGAAGAATGTACAGTAGTGTGTTAGAGATTGTGGTGTGCATTTAAAGCATGGGGCGTAAGGGAGCATGATCAATTCAGGGAATTTTAAGCAGTTGGATGTCTGGGGAGACCCAAGACATGGTTATCCCTGCACCTGCTTTATTTTAATCATGTTTCCTGTTTTGGGGATATGTCATTTCTCCTCATATTATACATTGGCTAGGTCACATGTGTCAGGCAGAACTTAACATCTGAGCTGTTGAAATATCGATTAGTTTTTCAGGTGGTGATAGGCTTTTTTTTTGGTAGGCTTTTGCTTCAAACCATATTTTTGAATTATATATTTGATGAGTATTAAAATTCTCTTTCTTTGCCTCCCCATTCAATGATAGTTGACTAGTCTGGTAGTTCAAGTCACTGTTCTTGTGGATACTTGAGGATAAAATCAAATACTGATCCCGTTTTCCAAGAGTTATAGTTTAAATACAATTTGTTTGTAATTAAAATATGCAGTTGAAAGTACAAAGTCTTGCAAGGGATGTGCTTGTGAAGTGTTATGAGGTTTCAAAGCATGAAGAAGTCACTTCAGAGCTGATTTCTGGTCCACACCTCAGACCAACAAAACATGGCTGAGGCCTGACCTTCTGGAATTTTTATTTTTTAAATCCCCACAGGATTGAATGAAGACAGGGTAGAGAAACAGTGATCTGTGAGAATTAGGGGACTTTATGGAAGAGGTAGTGTTGATGTAGAGCTTGAGAAGTTTAGGTTTGAGCTGGGCTTTGAAGGGAATTACAGGACTTGGATGTGTGGGTGTGGTGGTAGGGTGGCTACTGCAGAAAGGTTTACCCTTGAAAGGGTAGAGAAGAGAGGGCCTGAGTGAGGTCAAGGGAAAAATCTTGGCCTGGAAAACATAGGAAGGATTTATTTAGAGCAGGCATGGCCACGAGGGTAAGTATAGTGAGATACACCTGGTAGATAGCAGCTGCGTTCTTATATGACCTCAGTGAGTCCTTTGGAGACCTGATGGGAAAGCTGTTACCTTCATTTAAGGGAAGGAAAACTGAGAGATTAGATTATTGAGCTGGAGTTATACAGCTAGGAAGCAGCTCGGGGTAGACATTGGCCCAGGAGGTGATGTAACTATGAAGCTATACTTTCATAGAAGGTCTTCAGTGCCAGCTTCAGGAATCTGAAGTTTATTAATTTTTTCTTGAATAAAATGGGTGAATTTTAGTCATAGTTGAATTTTAATTTAGTTGGATTCTCACTTATTTGTAAAGCTAAATGGTTTGTATAGGAACTATTATAAATACCCAGAGACTCTCAAATGTTGATTTTTATGCTAGGCTTTAGTCTTTTAAGATAAATTTACATAATTTTTTCTATAACATCTCTTTGAAAAGACTTAGTGCCTTTTTTTAGGTTGTCTGGTTGTACGTGTGAGAGACATTACTTTTTGGGGGCATTTTCTGACACTCAAATTTCTGTGAAAGCTCTTCAAATCTTAAGATAACCTGTTCTCTGAGAAATAATGCTTAATTGATTGGAGGCTAAGGGTTCCCTTAGTTGTGGGCAGCAACATTAAGATTGACAATTGATTTTTTGGTAAAGTGTATCCAATGTCACTCAATTCTAGAGGATCTTTCTTTTTAAAATTAATTCTTTGCCTTCTAACCCTGGCTAGGTGGCTCAGTAGATTGGAGTGTTATCCCCAAGGTTGCCAGATTGATCCCTATTCAGGGCACATACAAGAATCAACCAATGAATGCATAAATAAGTGAAATAACAAATTGATGTTTTTTCTCTCTCTCTTACTTCCTCTTTCTCTCTCCCCACCTCTCTCTCTCTAAATTCAGTAAGTAAAAGCCTCCAAATTCTTTGTTATCTTTTTTTAGTACAAAATCCCACCAACATGGGGAGTCTTTTACCCTGTGGTATATGGAAATAATTCTGTTACAGATTACCTTCATTTTTCGCTTTTTACTAGTTATGAGGAATAAATTTTAGGAATAATGTT